TTGTTCATTTATCAGATCCAATTTTTGTTTGGTTTATATAAACTTGGATATTTCTATCCACACATAAATGCTCATCAGTTTTTAAGAAAATGTAAATACTATTGACATGTCTCTCAAAAAATACAATTTAGTCACGTATCACATATAAGAATATATATTTATAAATTTGGAAGATTTTTAGCTGAGAACCTTATTACAGTTACTACTTTACAATTATGGTTTATGTATTATTTTCATTCCACACACACATATAGTCTACAAAAGTGTGTGTGTATATATATATATATAGTTTATAAGAATACTATTTTTTATAGTATCACAATATATTTTTCAGCGATTCCATGTCGGTTCTACAAAGCATGAGAATGTTAGTCGGTCAGTGGTAGGTCAGAAGTTTATACAAAATATGTAATTACATGTGAAAGGCAACAACATGAAGTTTCATTACACATACATTCAACATGAACATTTCAATTCTTACACCTTGTTCTCATTTTTCATTGACACCAATGAACAATAATATCCTATACTCGCCTGGTCTTTTTGTCCTTCTAGAGTTTGGTCTGGCAAGTTCAATTTGCAAAGTGGATCATGCTTGAGGATCAAACTTCACACCCTGTAAATATAGACCACGTGACATGAACATGAACATGTTGGAATAAATAAATACGACAGTAATTGCAAATTTGCAATCTCAACAAATAGTAAATACTCCTTCCGTCCCGAAAAGGTTCGCCAATTTGACTTTTTTTGGTCAATAACAATCAACTTTGACTAATGATATTTCTTAATACGAAATTATTTAGAATATGAAAATTATATCAAAATATTCATCATTCCATATATTTTCATAAAAGTATAAAATTTATAAATTATATACAAATATAATAATTAAAATAATCATCCAAAGTTTGCCATCATTGACCAAGAAAAGTCAATATGGCAAACCTTTTCGGGACGGAGGTAGTATTACAATTGCATCTGTACCAGATACAAATCAATCTGGAGAGGTGCCATGATATGAATTCTAATAAGGTTTCATACTCTCAAGGCCCCAATGCTTTTTACAATTGGATTCTCGCTAGTATATTTTTTGGACCAAATACTCTTAATAAAATCAAGCTGGTATGACCTATATTCCTCCGTTGTCTTCTTTCACTCATCTCTATTATAAGCAGATATTACCTCTGCCCCGGTGAACTTTGCCAAGTGCAAAATAGGTGAGAAATAAGAATAGTAAAAACTGTGTGGTTGAGATTTGTGCAGATGAGAGAGAAATGTGCAGAACCACAAATTGGTTATTTTAATAGAAAAGTGACAAAGTTTTTTGGGACAATCAAAAAAAGAAAGTTGACAAAGTTCAATGGGGCGGAGGGAGTACGATTCTATTAGAAGCAAATGTTGTTTTTGAATACCTAAGGTTATATATTATGTGGAGCGGATCGACAAAGTATGTTTACAATACTAAACTGAAAAGTTCTTGAATACAATCTAGGTAAAGATTGAAAAAGGGTGACTAATACCGCCAGGTTGACATATGTTGACATATCACCAAATAATACACTTTTAATCCTCTCGCCAATATGTAAAGACGAAGACAGCAATCAAATATATTAAAACAACAACAAAAATTGAAAATTGGAATATTTTTTCATATACCATACTTTTAAAACATGTCCCATTAGATCTGTTTGCCTCAGGTTCATAATGAAATATCACATTCAAATGTATGTTATTAACTAACTAAGCCGAAAGTTAAGAAATCAATCTTTTCCATAATATCTTCAAAAGTTACACTCTTGCAATATTATCTCCAAAAGTTACACTCTTGCGATGTCACTAGGGTCTCCCTTGTTGACAATAGAATAAGATTGATTGGCCTGCAAACACATATTAAGAGCCCGTTTGGCAGCATGAAAATCGACAGTTCTGGCTGATTCTGCTGAAATTTATGAAATTCTGGCTGATTCTGCTGATACAAGAAAAAAACATTTTTAAAATATATTTTATTAATAAAATAAAGAAAAAATTATATGTAAAAATAGCTAAAATGGTTATCTACAGTAACTTCAGCCAATACAGCCGTAAAAATAACTCCAACCTTAATTTTTCGGCTTATTACACAATTCAGCGCGCGAAAGCAAAATTTACGTGTTTGGTAAAAAAGTTGGCTGATAAGCCTGATAAGCCGAAAATGAGGGTTGCCAAACGGCCTCTAATTCTTGATGCTAAAGAATAAGCTAACACACATGATAGAAAATAAATAACAAATACATACTCCATTAGTAAACTGGTGATTCAAGCTTCTAAAGGAAAATAGCTTACAAATGCAATTATTTTTTCATGGCCGCTAAGGGATTCTATGTGCCAACGTATGTTAGAAATTGCGCAAACACATAACATACATTTTGGGTTTGTTGAGATGAGTAATGTGTCAGTAATCTAAAAAGACAACGGTGAAGCAAAACTCAAAAGAATTAAAAGCAATTGTTCTTTTAATTCTTGGGGCACATACCCTTTGTATATTTTTTTGTGAAAGTGTGTAGTTTGTCTAAACAAACTATTGTAGCCGGCTCTTTAGATAGATGGTTTCTGGTTGGTTTGAGAAGAGTGTAATTGAAACATAGACCATATGATATGCATTTTATCAAACATGGAATATGCAAAAATATAGACTGCATATACCATATAATATAGGTGTAGCTACATACAACCACATAGATTATATAGTTTCTCGATTCAACTGAAATGAATATTAATTCAGGAATAGTAAAAATGGGGGGAACAAGAATATTACCAAATGTATGAGCTCATTAGCCATTGACAAAAAACTAACTTGCAATTGTTTTAGTTTATCAGCCATCTTCAAATGCATCCATCATGTTTTGTAACAAACACTTTCCTTTTTAACAAATGAGAAATCCCAACTGTATTTGTGTGTAATTCCAAGGATATTGAATGCATGTAACATTTTGAAACATGTCTTATTCTAAATAATTGAAAGAAATAACAAAATACAACAATGGATAGGCTCAAAAACATAATTCATCTCTGATTGATACATAACCAATAAAGATACTAACATATCAATCTTTCGTTGTAATCTTTCAAAACTATCTCAAGAAAATGGCTTCAAAGGATAACTAATAACCTCGTAAATAAAAAAAGATAAATATATAAAAACTAAAAAAAAATCTTGGCTCCAAAGGATAGCCAATACCCTTTCAATATGACTAGATAATCACTTTAAAAGACCTAAGTACATGGTTTATTTAAAAACCAAAGTACTCATATTCCTGCAATGAATTAAAAATGACGGTAAGACATTTTTATTTGCCAAGCCAATCTTAAAACGTTCAAACATATGTATACCAACTTCTCAGAGAGATATGTCACTGTTAAATTAATCAAACAAAGGGAAACACTCTAATTTGTTTAAATCAAGTGATCATGTTGACTTTTAAAGTGACCAAATTAACAAAGTGGTCATATTCGTTCTTTAAGTGTTTTTAGACAGAGACACTCCTCAATTGGATGTATAGAATTGTGGACATGGACCTGTTAAACATAATGTGCATGAAGAAGTTGCAATACTTGGACATCACACACTGCCAAAATCTGGTAAAGTACACGGACCTCATTAAGAGAGCTCATGGCCGGATACCTGAAATTTGCTGACTGAGTAAGAAAGCTTGTGGAGGATCAATGATTGTACAGATGATTTTTAGGATTACAATGCTCTTGAAGTGATTTTGTGAAAACAACATCAATGTGAGATTATGATATAAGCAGGTCTAGAGGCTAAAAAGCCAGCTAATCAGATTTACTTGCAACCGAAGTACTTCTACCCGTATCAAAATCTAATAATTCAGAATGGATGCTCGAGTTAAAAAATACAAACTCAAAAGTAATGTATACATTAATATAGTTAGAAGTATATGCTATGAAGAAGAAGACGAAAGAAGAAATTCCCTAAAAAAGACTCTTGTAATTAAATTTATCATATTTAATTATTAGAGCAATTAACTATATGCCTAATGAGTCTAATAAACTTCTGGAATAAAATCTATCATATTCTTTATGAAGCAATCTTTCCCGGAATGCTTTGCCACCAATTTTATATATTTATGAGTGATGTTTTATTGGACACAATCATTATTTGGAACTTGGGAATGCCAGAAATAAATATTTGCTTACCATCAGAGAAAATAACTCAATTCAACATAGATCTTAGAAAATAAATGTTGCTTCATTTACATATCCCTTGGGAGTCTGGGACTTAGAAAGTGTTGATTACGTATATACGAGTATAAATGTAAAAAAGTAGGAATGTAGTTTATAAATTATAATAGTAAAAGTAGGAAAAAAGTAGAATTCCATAAAAATATGAGTGTTCTTATTTTAGACTTCTAACGATCCCACTAAAATTCAAGTATCCTCAAACATGTGGTGGAATTCATTTCAATGGATTTAGAAAGATTTTAATAGATTTAAGCATCATAATTGCGAATGTTCCGTTCCAAGGAAAGTCTTACTACACCCTTTGAATTTCCAAATTCATTGAAAAAAACCTACGTAGCACAATCGTAAATTCGTAACTACTCTTTCAGGCCAACTCCATTCGACAACTCCTTCTTCCACCTTCATAATTCGGAACAAACACGGGGGGGGGGGGGGGGGGGGGGGCTTGGAGGGGAGGAGCCTGGGCCAGAGTAAAATTTTCATTTCTTTGTATTATACTTCCTACATTCTTTTTTAATTACAAAGGTTCTCTTTTTTAATTGCAACGCTTCTCTTTTGAAAATTTACGACAAAAAAATTTAATGATGTTTTACAAAAATTAATTTGGTAATACATTAATGAGTAAAATATAATCAAAGTATAACACGTGAATAATGTAAAATTCAACATGTTGCAAATATTTAAGAACACGTGAATAATGTATATTAATTTCTCTTCGGGCCAGTTAGATTAGTCTGGCCCAGTGCCAAGTCTGCCGGCCCAATTGCCAAAACGAAGAAGAACTTCCCGCAACTTCTTTCGGCACTTCAGCGGTTCAGCCAGTCACCAAGAGTGAAGGAGGCAAGCTCCCAGTCGGTCAGTCGCGGTCCCGCAGCCCTTGCTGTGTGGTAGTATGCTTCTCAGCTTGTGGTCTTGGGGACTTCTGGCTAATTTGCTGCCTTTCGTAGCTCTGTAATCGCCCCAGCCCCCCCCCGCAGCAGGTAAGTCTTACACTCAACACTCATAAGTGTTTATTTATTTATTTAGGTACCTAATACTCCGTAGCTTGGAATCTTGATTCTTGAGATTGAGTGTTTGACTCTTCACTTATACGAATATTCTAGCATGTAAAATGTGATTTTCTTCTAGTTTTGGCAAATAGTTTGTATTGCTGTGTGTTCATTTGTAAAATTAAGAATGAGGATTGTGATTATTAGCATATAAATAATGCGAATAATGCGATTCAAAGTTATATATTGATTATATTAATAATTGTTGTCAACTTAATTAGATATGGCTACCCAATCTACTCCCAAAACGGCAAGGATCACATTGCATTGTTTTTGTAGGTCTACAATAATGCTACTCCCTCCGTCCCCCAATTAAGTTCCCGGTTTAACTCCACACGTATTAAGAAAATAAATTTGACTTTACTATGTCACTATGGAGTGCACTGTTCAAACACTGTTTGACACTATTTGACACTGTTTGATGTAGATAATTTGCCAAATAAGGAAAGTAAGAAATGTGAACTTAATTTAGGGACTGCCCGAAAGTGGTAACTTAATTGGGGGATGGAGGGAGTATATAAGTAAATAAGTTTCGTGTCTTACTTTGTAATTTACACTCCGTAATTGAAACTTTAAACTAGCTTTTAATTTTAAATTTGGAAATGTGTGCATATGCCGGGGAGATTTCTGATATACTAACACATATTCTGACTTATATTATCACTAATTAAATACCATTATCACATTGAGTCTTGACCGATATAATATTTCTGCTTGAATTAGAAAGGACCAATTTTTTGTTGTTGCACAGGTTCTCAATTTTCGTAAGAGCGGCCCTGAACGGGAGAAAATGGAGAAAAGCGATAAAAATAAGGTGCCAGTGCTGCCATGGATGAGAAACCCAGTTGACATCTCTGTCATTGATGAGTGCCCTCTAAACCATCTCCCTTTTCTTGACCCCAGGTAACAAGCACCATGGTTGCTGTACAGAATATTTTAGCACCAGTTTTTTTTTGCATACATATTCAATACTACATTAGGATGTAGTAGGACACTCTACTTGAATCTGTGAGCTTTGCCATTTTGTGGTTTTGGATCGTTTCTTGTGACATATAAATTGAGTTGGAATGATCATTGTCTGATTGGTGAAGATTAGTAACTACATGTTGAACAAAACAAAACTTCAGTTTGGAGAAGGTAAAGTGCATCATGCATCCTGCCATCGGTGATAGTGAAATAAAACATTAGATACTGGATACTGTTTTGCATTATTTCAAGACAGGTGGGAGGAAAGTGAAGTTAAACAAAGAAATGACTTGTTTGAGTACAAAGTATGAAATATCGAATAAGTTCAATCCTTGTGTTGCTCCTAAACAAAGCCGAGTAAAATTGGGAAAAACACAAATTTTATATTTTGCGGCTTTGCGCATGTTCTTTTTGTAGCATATAATAAGAACCAAAATGAAAAAGAGAATACACTAAACATTGTTCTATATGGACCATATAAAAACCATCCATCGATTTTAAGGGGTAGTACTTCCTAGCCCAGAATCTCATATTAGCTAACCACCATGCACATACTATTTATGTAATTGTGCTTTTTTGCATATTAACTATTGTCTAAAAGGTAAATAGGTATGCATTTTCTTTTAGTACTTTCTTGTTCTATTGTGAGGATGGAAGTTTTCTGGACGCCCTTAATACTGGAAGCTTGAGATGTCACTTATGATTGAATCGATTGTATTGTGAGCTTTATTGCAGAGAGTTTTGGTGAAAAACCATCTTTTTCCCTTCTAACCAAATCTTATTGTTTATTTTTCTTTCACTAGGTTGGAGGCAGCATTGAAGAAAATGGGAATTACTTCTCTCTTTCCATCCCAAGTTGCTGCATGGCAAGAGACGATTGGACCTGGCTCTTTTGAGCGAGACCTTTGTATTAATTCACCAACCGGGAGTGGGAAAACTATTGCCTATGCATTGCCAATTGTGCAGATGCTTTCAAATCGTGCTGTAAGATGTCTCCGCGCATTGGTGGTGTTACCCACTCGTGACTTGGCACTGCAGGTGATTAAATTGATTGCTCCTGCTTGTAATTTTATTTTCTCATAACGTTGGTCATAACATCTTGTCATGGATGCTTCATGTGGCTTGTCAGGATTGCGAATCACTGTGTATCACCACTTTAGATACAAATCTTGTGCACATTTGAATGATTGCATCCTTAACAACCAGTATATGGCCAATAAACATGCTATTTTTTTAAATGATTTTTTTCAATCTAAATTGATGGAGCAACCTACAGATCTGCTTAAATGAACTACTTAGGTGTTGGCTGATTCGAGTACACTTTCATTATTGAAGTTAAATTTCATTAAATTTAACATCACCATTCTATGTGTTAAATGGCAAAGAACATGTATAAACTTTACTGCGATTGCAATTACCCACTGCATTTCTGTTTTCAGGTCAAGGAAGTCTTTGAGGCTCTTGCCCCCGCCGTAAATTTACGTGTGGGCTCAGCAGTTGGGCAATCTTCCATTGCTGATGAAATTTCACAGCTTATAAAGAAACCAAAGTTTGATGTAGGCATGTGTTATGATGAAGAAGATTTTTCTCAGGAGTTGCAGAGTGCTGTAGACATACTTGTGGCAACACCGGGAAGGCTGATGGACCATATTAACAACACCAAGGGATTTACCCTTGAGCATTTATGTTATCTTGTAAGCAGGTTTCTTTATCTTCTATTCTTTTGACTGAAGGATGCTGCACCTTTTCTTTTTTCTCGCCATTTTTAAAAGTGAGAATTGCAAAACGACATGTCAATATTTGTATTAGTAATGAAATACACAAATAGGTCATGGTTTACTCAACTTCTGTATATTTTACTAGCAATTGCATGAGCAAATGAATAGTCATGCTTGGTAAAACTATTCATTTGCTCATGCAATTGCTATAGGACTTTGGGATGTGATCTAACATTTTCTCATTTTCCTTATTTATCAATATACCTTTGCAAACTCCGCCATGATATCATTTTTCTGGTATCATGCCTGTCCCAAGCCAGGATAAAGGAGGAGGGTGCTGTGGTAGGCGTGTGACGGCCAACAGTATCACTTAGTCACATCACATGACATGAATCGAAATATGAAAATCGCTACCTTTTGGTTGTGATATCATGTATCGATTCATGTTAGCCGACCCCAATATCTTTTTGGACTAAGGCTTGGATGTTGTTGTTGTTATCAATATACCTTTGCAAGCCAACACCGTTTTTATTACCAGTCCTAGTGTTAGAACACCTCTACTTTGTCTAAGAATCTTACAGAATTAGTAAAGAAAAGATCAAAAATTGATCAAGGAAAGCTATGTTGTCATTAATGGAGCGTTTACAGAGAGTTTACAATACCAACGAGACTGTTAGAGAAGTCTCAATCTCTTAACCTAATCACAACTGAATACTTGCCTACCTCTTTATTCCTCCCTTCCCTTCGATTTATACTACCTGTACAATTATTATTATTTCTATTATTAGCCTAATATGCCCAATTCCTATCATATCTCCCCCCTTAGACAACCACCTTGTCCTCAAGGTGGGTGATAGGAAACAACCATGATCTTCAGCTTCCTCTTCATCCTTGCACCTCTCCCTTCCCAATACTTGACTGATTGCTGGACGAGGAACTTCCATACTTGAATCTTTCTCCTCACTTCTTTTAGCAAAAGTATCAATAGATCCTCTACCTTCAGAGCATCAGTACCACTCGGGTGTCTTTGTTCATGCTGGAACTGAGCTTTACCAATCACCAACTGCTCAATCTTCCAATTGCTACTTGCTCTTGCTTCAGGATATAACCCAAGCCCTTGGGTTTCAGTTGCTTCACTCCTTGAAATTGTAGCATCTGAGATGTATTCCCTGGGACTGATAAGAAGAACAGTAGGAACATCATTTGCAGAGGCATTAAAGGAAGCTTTCCAATAGGAATCCTGTGACCCAGAATTGATAGGTGCAAACAATGACATGAGTGGTGCAGAACCTGCTGCTGTTTCGACTATGGATAAACAACTGGCATAAGGAAACTCTGCAAGATACTCTTTTCCCTTTTCCAACTGCTTTAAACCCCTATCGTGCACTTTAGAATTACTAAATGGCTGCCCCCCCACCTAGAAAATTAGTAGGTGAAAATCCACGCATATAGCTTATAGCTTTTCGTGCTGCTTCCTTCATAATAGTTCTTTTCCACTTAATAACGAAGTGCCTAATGTACTCCCACAGTCTGACCTTACTGCATTAAGGGCAACATCTGGGCACCATGACTTACAAACACCATCAACTTTATTCAAACAGTTGGAAGAGCATTTTAGTAGGGCAGGTATAGAAACTGGATTTCCATTATAAGTCATCCACCTAGGACCAACAACAAGAGGTCCAATGCACAGGTTTCCAGATCTCGACAGCCCCTATCAACAAGGTTGTGACAATGTTATAATCCCTCTCTAAATATGCGGTATTACCACAGTGTATCTGAGCTGCTGGTAGGACATTAACCACTATAGAGCTGCATCTCACCGAATGAACAACTGATCGGAACTTCACATGATGTACATAAGAGTGAAATCTCAATTAATAAAACCAAACAACAGTGAGAACACAATTGCCATTGAATACATCACTGCTATGGTAAAGACTGCCACTACGACAAGATCCAGGTTTAAGCAGTTCTCTGCTCCTTCCCCCTCGTAAACCCATTCTTTGCGATCCCTGTAAATTCCCTCTTCTCCTCATCTGTCACCCAGTTTAGCTTGAACAAATTGGTTCCCAAATCTGACTTGACAGACTCGTACTTGGAAGAAGCGGTATCAATGAGGGATCCAGCAATGGCTCCAACTTCAGGTCCATCGACAGCTGTAGATTTCTCCTCTAGTTCGTTGTCCAGATTCGGTTCCTTGGTTACCGATTCAGCGGGCTTCAACTCGGTATTAATTATTGACTGGGAAGATTCTTGCGCAGGGTGAGGAACGTCTTGCTACAAGACTTGCAAACAAGAAGATTCTTCTCTAGTTAGCGTCGCATTCTGACGTGAGTGGATAGCAGATGGGAACGCCTAGGAACTGAGAAACAGTTAGCGACTGCGAATTCAAAACTTCCGATTGCGACACAGTATGCAAACTGAGAGAAGTGGTTCACATCTGTGAACTGGGAGAAGTGGTTCACATCTGTGAACTGGGAGAAGTGGTTCACATCTGCGAACTGGGAGAAACGACAAACGATGATGCTGACTGCGAGAACACCTGCGAACGACTGAGAGAAACGACTTGCGACGATGATCGGTGAGAAGAAACAGTTCGTGACGAAGATTGAGAACTGAGAGAAGTTGTTTGCGACCTCGACAGGCACCGTTTTTCATATGGCCGACGACGTCTGGGCTCCTCGATCGGTGTTGGCGACAATGTTGACCCATACTGTGAAGCATCTTGTTCAGCATAGCTTTCATCTACTTCATATGTCATTCCATATTGTCGAAACTCTTTTCCATTCGGGGTGACACATAGAATTCATCCATCTCTCCAGGTTGCTGATGCTCTGGGATGATCGATGATTCAGATTCTCTGCCTCCAGGAAGCGGCGTGCTCTGATACCAATGTTAGAACACCTGTAGTTTGTCTAAGAATCTTACAAAATTAGTAAAGAAAAGATCAAGAATTGATTAAGAAAAGCTTTATTGTCGTTAATGGAGTGTTTACAGAGAGTATACAATATCAACGAGACTGTTAGAGAAGTCTCAATCTCTCAACCTAATCCCAACTGAATACTTGCCTACCTCTTTATTCCTCCCTTCCTTTCTATTTATACTACCTGTACAATTATAATTATTTCTTTTATTAGCCTAATGTGCCCGATTCCTATCACCTAGTGCTAGTAGAAAATGTTCATTTACTATGCTTGCCCGCTTGGTTTTTTGCAGTTTTTCCATGGTACCTACAGGTGTCAACCGATATGTTATGAACACAGATGCAGGGACACAGGAACGGCATAACGTCATTAATTAGAAATATAGGACAACGAACAAGAGGGTATATTTCTAATTATTAAAAATATAATAACTTCTTTGTGAACATTTAATAATATAGTAACATACAATAAAATTTTATATGTAGTTTAAAGTACTTCGTAAAAATCAATTTTAACACTAACTATTCCGAAAATAACTCATAATTTATAGAATATAAAATCTTGAAATTACCCATTACAATTACTAGTTTATTAGCCGTGAAGGGCTGGGTGGCAGGAACTTTTTATGTTTCTTATGTAGGTAACTGACTAGGTGTGGAAGACTGGGTATAATTGGCGCAATCGATGATAGTGGGTGGTTATGCAGAAGTGGATCTGTTGTTGTGCAGGCGCTAACTTTAGGGTGGTGGGAGAAGGCACACAGGCTGTTGGTGTTGGGGAGAAATGTAGGTTGTAAGAGTAGTGGGAAACAGTTGATTTAATGAGAAATCAATGAATGGATCGATATTGATGCCTCATATGATTAAAGTGGAAGCCAGGACACTGTAACCAAATTTGTAACCAGTCCCTTATAATTTTAACATTCCTTTTTTTCTCTGACAAAATTATAACCAGTCCCTTGGGTGTTTGGTGTCTAACATGTATACTACACATGACACACCTCTCCTTAGGTGTTGGCTAAGATTTTGCATGTAATTTTTTCAACATAATTTCTTTCAACATAATTTCTTTTCACTACACCACAGTTTTTAATCACATATTTTAAGTTTTGTAATCTTTGATTTAATTTCACCTGCAATAGCATTGTTTCAGGTTGTTGATGAAACAGATAGGTTACTCAGAGAGGCATATCAATCTTGGCTGCCCACTGTCCTCCATTTGACTCGTCCTTGTGATACGCTCTTCCCTTCTGAAAGTTTTTCTCCTTATGCTTTTTGTCCCTTGAAGACAATCAGAAAATTGTATGTCTTATGGTCCTTACGTTTCTCGTTTTAATCATGATACACATCTGTTTGGTAGAGTAAATATGAGAAAGAAAAAAATAAAGAGGGAGGAACAGAAGAGAGACGATTAACAACTCTTTTTGGTGTGAAAGAAATGGGGATTAAAGAATATCTTCACTATGTATACAATTTTTTTCATTTCTTCCCACCAAATTACACACAAAATGTTTCCTATTTCTCTGTTATTTATTTCTTAAAATCTTTTTCTTACCCATGTCTTTCTTCTCTATTTCTTCACTAAACTAAACAGGGCTACATGTTATGTAAGTGGAAATTATGGTGACTGACATGATATGCACAATTTTGAGATTTGAGCAGAGTAACATTATTCTCAAATCCTTCCAGTCTTTTTGGAATTGCTGAGGATGTGTGCCAATGTGTCTTAGTAGGAATATAAAACACTTGGTTTAAAACTTTGGAACTGTAGTAGGCAAAATGATCTTGTTTTTTTGCTTTCTTATCACCCTTTTATTATAATCCGTAAATGATATTTTTTTGAGTACTAAACAACTCACACAGGCTCCCTTTCCGAGAACTACACTCACATTTACGTAGTATTAGATTTGCTGCTAAAGTATAACTCTGCTTTCATGGTTGATGCTATTTTAAACATATGCAGCGGTGTAGAAAGAGGATTCAAGGGTAAATCTTGCCCAAGGCTTGTGAAGATGGTCTTGTCTGCAACACTAACCCAAGACCCCAGCAAACTGGCTCAGCTTGATCTTCACCATCCTCTGTTCCTGACAACAGGAGATTTGCGCTATAGGCTCCCTGAACAGCTAAAATCCTTTAAAGTGGTAGGATTCCTTGTGAATGTGAGGATGTCATTCATCTGTTTGGTTTTTGCTTTTACTTATGATTTTAGTTCTAGTTCTACGTAATAAATGTTACAAGCTAATTAATTGCCATGTTCATCTTTTTGAAAGATATGTGAATCAAAATTAAAACCAGTATACCTGATCGCTATGCTTGAAGCTTTGAAAGGGGAGAAGTCCATTGTATTCACTTCATCTGTGGAGTCAACTCACAGGTTGTGCACCTTGTTGAACTTTTTTGGTGATTTGCAAATTCCGATCAAGGAATATTCACGTCTTCAACGACAGTCATCCAGGAGGTTGTAGGCAGTCACTTTGCTTTAAGCTTTTTTTTCTTTACCCCTCCTAATTATTTACTTACGAATCCATGCTGAAATTTGAGTTAGGCTAATTGCAATTTTGGCGTTCTTACCATGAAAAATTCTTATGTAGCAAGACACTGACAGCCTTCCGGGAAGGTAGAGTACAAGTACTCATTTCCTCTGATGCTATGACCCGCGGGATGGATGTTGAAGGGGTGAGAAATGTCATTAATTATGATATGCCTGCATATGTCAAGACCTATATACATCGCGCTGGACGAACTGCAAGAGCTGGCCAAATCGGAAGCTGCTTCACATTGTTGCGTAAAGATGAGGTGTGCTGTCTCTTTATTTGATTGTTAAGATGAATACTTTGTAACCCATGTTGCATTAAATGCTGAGTTGACTCTAGACTTTAGAGGTTTAAATTTAGATTGAAGTTTCACAATAGCAGCCATCATTGGCATGCTCACCGTTGAACTAAAAATTTGTTCCATCCCATAGATGCTATTTGATATCAGCCAATACAAATCTACAATATCCAAAACTTTGTCCAAAACTTGAGTCTTGAGAGAACAAGTTACGAAAACCGGGGAAAAGTTCAATACAGTAACTATAATAAATATAATAATAGAAAAAATGGTCTAAAACATTGACAAGTTTACTAGGTTCGATTTGGATGGAGGGCTTCAGATGTAAAATCTTTGGATAACATATCTTGAAAAAAAATGATTTCTCAAAACAAAGAACATGTTACTGAATCGCTGAAACCTTATGCTTCACTTATTATTTTGTCTTCAATACGATAAAAGCTTAATACATATCAACATATAGATGTAGACCTTCAATAGTTGACTTATTCAAACTGATCCTGATAGTGCATTTTGTCCAGGTTGTTTCTTTCTTTAGTCACTTGTGGTCTTTTGGATGGAGTGTATTGGAGGGATAAGTCTATATCTTGAAATATGTTTGAGATACTATAAATATCCAATATTAATACGACAGTATTAAATAACACAATCTATGCTCATATAACACATCGCCATCTTTTATTCGCATTCAGAAACATTATGCTTATCAGCCACCCTGCCTTCCCCCCTTAAGGGTTCAACCTCCTTTGTCCAAGCATATCCTTAGGAAATATTTGTGTGCAAATTAGGGTATCAGATGCACTAGTTCATTCTTAAGTCAATTAAACAATTAAATAAGCTCTTTAAAAGATATATCGAATATATATTTTCGTGCCAATAATGAATTGATCTATTTATCAGTTTACCCCTTTAAGATTAACAACTGTAGTAAGATAAAATCCCTCCAACTATCTTAAAGATTCCACTCACCCATGACCAAGCAAAAGTAACTTTTAGACATGAAATTAACAAAACTCAATAAATACAAGGGACAAAGTTTGATTAAACCTACAGGAAAATAACAAAAATGATCAATTGTTGAGCCATAGACTCATAGACACAGGTGCTTAGTCTCTCAGTCGGTCAGTCCTCACTAGTATGCAAATATGATGATGCACAAACTTGCTTTTTTCCTTCTGAGAGGATAGCTGTCATGGCGTCATCTAGGCGTCAACTAGGTGGCACTTAGGCGTCCAGACGGCGAGAGCACTCGCCACGGCTGTTTGTGTAGTTTGAAGAGCGTCAAACATTGAAGGACACTGCTTAGACGTCAACTAGGCATTATTGGGAGTTCAGTATAGTCATAATTTAAACATACTATCGTATTACCTATAAAAACAAATGCTATAATATTAAATAATGTATTGATATTCATTTAAAACATTCAAAAATACATGATAAACATTATATGGATTAAAATTTAGAACGTCGCTCTTATATGCATGTCACATAATATCCGGACTCTAAAGTATGTTTGTGTAATATTCCATTAAATATTTAAATGTTAAAATAAACACTAAAGAGCCTTGAAATGATTTTTTCAGGGAAAGTTAACTTAACTTAAGCCTTATTTAAAAAAAAAAACTTAAGTCTTAATTTCATCTCTAAACTAAGACAATATAAATAGTACTACCTCTGTGGCTCTGTCCCAATTTGATGGTCATTTTTCTTATTCACTTGGTCAACACAAATCACTCTTAATCTCTTACTTTATATTTCAAATTTTTATTAAATTTGATTCTGGTTTTTGCGACTTTGTAAAGCTTTTAATGTTGTTTCTAAATATGTATTTTTTTCTAAAAATAATTTGAGCGCGCACAAGGATCCGTTTGCTTTATCGTCAGTTAAACCTCGTAAACCGCAATCACACCATCAAACAGGGACAAAGGGAGTATATACTAGCACCTTCTTAAATAATTAAGAATTCCTTTTAAATACACTCCTAAATTGTATGTAGTAATAAATTATTTCCTTCAAGTTTGGGCTTATTTACTTAATAACTTAAGCTCTTATTTACTGAATTAAAAAAGAATCCAAATTTCAATCTTCATCCAAGGAGTTGAGCGCAACCATTTTGTTTGTCCTCTCTACCACGTACTACTCACCGGACTAGTAGCTGCTAAAGAATAACAATGTTGGGGGGCTAAAAGTAAAAAAAAACTAATACTAGTAATTAAAGAATGAAAAGTTGGGGGGGGGGGGCATGGCCCCCATGGCATTGGCTGTAGCTCCACCACTGTACTAGAGATATCATTGAAATTTCACCTGGATTTATATTCTCATGATCATTGTATTTATTTTTCATCTCCTTTGCAGCAAATTCACACTAATTTGAATGTTGCCTTGCCTTTTCCTATATATTGTTTTTCGAATAGAGGATATCGTAAGTGAACATGTTTGTTATCGGACACTAGATACTCGTGAAATTGACTGAGTGCTGGTATACAGGTCAAGAGATTTAAGAAAATACTACAAAAAGCCGACAATGATTCTTGTCCAATTTATCCTATTGATTCACAAAGAATAGAGTCGCTTCTCCCAATCTATACATCAGGTGATCTTTTCCCTACTATGTTGTACGAATATCTGCTTAAACTGTGGAGTTTTGTATTTATAAACCTAAAAAAATAAATCTTAGGATTCTAAATGCTTAAAATGGTTTTTATGAGTAGATCATTTGGATCACTGATTTATGGGTATATATTATCTTTGGCTTAGTACTTTCTAGTCATGGATAATGTTTGATTCTCTCTCTGTTCTTCTTCTATTTTATGATTCGTTCCAGAAATGTTCTTATCATTTTATTAATTTCAATCCAAATCTCAGCCACTCATTTTTATTTTAAATCATACGTAGTACTTCTTAATAAACATATGAAGTCAGAAGGTTTTTTTGCACACAGAGTGATTGCTTATATGGTTGAATAAATTTTGTATGCATAAGGACATGAAAATTGGGTATGCATTTGTATGTAGAGTAATGCTAGATTGCTAGGTATTCCACTATTCCGTGAAACAAACGGTATCTACATTTCATCCTTTTAAATTTAAAGTAAACCGTGGAGGCGACCCCTTTGCACATCTCACATATTCTGTCCAGAAGAACCACAAGAGAAGTCAACATAGTCTCGAACAACTTCTGGTACAAAAGATGACGATATTGCCAAATTATCTTTATATTTTGAATCAAAGTTGTTTGACTATGAGATAAAGACGTGAAAACGTTGTCGGTGGATATCCTAGACAGAATTTAACCAACATGAGGAGAGCCTACGTCCAAAATGTTGAATGCCCAACCCCAAGGCCCCCCACCCCGACCTGACAGGATGGTGGGGAGGTTAATCACGGTGACTCAGTCAGCAAAACGGCAGTAGGCCTTTACCCGTGCGCAGGATTCGAACCTTGGTCTACGTCCAATTTTTCCCACCGCTCGACCAACTAAGCTACCCGTGCGGGTAACATGAGGAGAGCCGGTTTCATGTACATCGTTCGTGCAAAATGACAATTTTCATATAGATCAAGTCGTGGGGCATCTATCAATTTTGATCTTTTGGAAATATAATTCAACATAAGTTGAACTTAGTCTTGCCTTACAAGTTACATCTGTTTTCAGCATTGGTGAAATTGAAAGAAAGTGTTGAATCAGAAGAATATAAGAAGCGGCGTACTAGTACCAATCCTTCTAATCTGACTAAGCGGAACCGAGGGTAGTTCGAACTTCAGTTTTGAAGAAGAGCTTGTTCTGGCTGGACCGTTGCTGCCCCAATTCAAAAATTGCAATGTGTTCTTTTGAAGATCCACCATTAAAAACGTGGTAATTGGTGATAGGGAGAGGAGACAGCTTCATTTCTTCCATAGGAAGTGGAGCAGACATCTCTAGTTTTCTACTTTAGATATCAAATGTTGCTAGTTTTAAGGAACTGTAAGTTTATAGTGTGGCATGGCAGCTGTTCTGAAATTTTGGATTCTATAACGTTTTGAACACTTGAAGTTTTGAAATGTGTATCATTCTATTTTAAAGGCAATTTTAATGTTAAACTCTTAAATACATCAGGAATCAGGATAGTTGTCAAAGTTGTGCCTGGTGTGGATATGAATTTTTGTAAATGAGAATGAGATGAGGAAATAATGAAACTCCCATGATCCCATCAGAGCCTCAGAGCCTCAGAGGTAGTGAGTAACTGTGTAATTGTGTTTTAAGCACATTCTTACAATGCTTAGTATTTTATTTCTACCAATTGGATTTCTTTGGTCATATCTCGCACAAATTTATACAATCTTATCTTTATTTGGTTGAAACTTCGGTCCTCACTTGTTGATTTTACTCGATCTAGTCATGGACTCGGGCCGGGTCGGGGCCGGTCGGGCCGCCGGTTTGTATCATATGGGCCTGGGACCGGTCCGAGGGTTGGACGGGTCCGGTCCGGTTCGGGCCACCCGCTCGGGTCACGGGTCAGGCCACCCGCCGGGCTGGGCTGGTTAAAGATTTTTTTTTGTTTTTATAATTTATATTTTATACTTTATAGTTTTATACAAGTATTAAAAATAAACTTCAAGTGCATTTATTTGAAATGAAATAGGAACTACATTTGAAAATTAAATAGGAACTACAATTGAGAATTGAAGGTAAAATTAAAACATGAAATATTAATCAATCATTCAATCCGAATCTCCGGCATAGGTAGAACCACCCTCGGTTGTAGATTTATCCATAAAGTGTTGGGATGAGGTGATGTCAATTTCTTGAACTCTACGGGTTGCTTTCAACCAATCGTGGTAGCATATAAGCATCTCAAGAGATTCTGCGCTCAACCTCGTTCTGGTTTGTGTTAGGACATTTCCGATCGAACTAAATTCTTGTTCCACGGCAACCGTTGAAACCGGCATTGATAGCACTTGCTTAGTCATCTTTGCTAAAACCGGGAACATTCTTTCTTTTCCCTTCAACCAGTTTAGTACGTCAAAATCATCATCTTCTTCAAAATCAACATCATATGTTAAATACAAAGAAATCTCATTAATTGTACTTTGTTGTGTAGCGGGAGTTGATTTCATTTTTTAATAAGATTGGCAAATGTAGATTTGAAAATTGATTTTCCTTTAGATGATGTTTGTGTCGGGGGAGGGGGCGCATTGCCATATTGTGCATGAAACTCATTGAATTACAACTAGTTTTTTAAACTAGAGTCAAATGTAGCAATTAATAAAAAATTGTAATAAAGTAATTAACTATTAATCTAACTATTAATTCGAGTTATAGCAAATTGTACAACCTAATTAACTAGTTTTTTTTCAAGTAACGTTAATACAAAATTAAACAAGTGTAAATAATAGAATAATTTCGTACCTCTTTCGGTCTTTTGGTCTTTCGGATGGGAGTAATAGAATGACTTCAAATTAATTAGATTTAATTCCAACTATATTAATAGATATAATAAATGTATAAGTAATATATAATTAGATAACAAATATAAGTAATATAATATTATAATGTATGTATTTATAAATTATAAGTAGATAATTAATATAAAGTAGATATATAAATAATAAATATAATATATTGGAGAATAAGAGAATTAGAGAGTAGAGAGTTAAAAATAGGATTTAGGAAGAATTGGAGAAGAGATGAAAAAATGTTTAAGATTAGGAGTATTTATAGGTTTTTTTACCCCCACCCCCCCACCCCCCGGACCCCTCCTGCACCCCACCCAACGGCTATATAGCCGTTTGGGTTGTCCCTAGCCCACCCCCCAAGGCCATAACGGCTAGTTTGGGCAAAACATTTTTTTTTTAAAAAAAATGGATCGTTGGACCCGGACCCGGGCTCGGGCCCGACCCGGCCGGGTCGGGTCACCTTTTTCCGGAACCGTGCCCGCCCCGCCCATCCCCACCGGTTCAGGTCTACACCCGGTCCTGGACCGCCAGACCGGGCCGGTCCTGGGCCCGCACAGTAGCGGGCCGGGCCGGGTGGCCCGAACCGAATCCACCCTAACTCGGTCAGGTTCTCGTGGTCGCTTCGGTCCACTCGTAACGATGCAATTGTTTGAGTTAGAAGTTATCCTAGCGGGGCATTTTCAATTTGCCACCTCGGCATGGCTACTCTTAGCATGCCATAGTGGTCATCATGTAGTATTGTAGGCTAATTAGGAGAAGCCATATGTAATGTCTCATTGCTGAGTAAAAAATAGAGGCTTGGCAAGATGTTCCAAACGGCCAAACGGCCTTACCGGTCGATTTTTTTGTGAAAATGTGTGAGAATGTTCATGATGAAGCGTAAGTTATTTTCACAAAATTGCAACTTAAATTCAATTGTGAAGTTATTTAACTAAATTATTGAAAAACATTGTGCTATATATATAGAGAAGATCAAGTGAAAAGTTCCCCTTAAAATGAGAAGTAATCTCAACCCTTAGATTTGCATCTAATCTTACAATGCAGTAAACTTATAGATTGAATATATGAATTTATAACCAATAAATCATAACTTATAAAGCTCTCCATCATAATTACGGAAATGTCACCGCGTTAAATTTTTTTTGAAGGTTTTTGGAGTTATTTTTTGCGGTGACATTTTCGTGATTATTTTCGACGGGGTCTATAAGTTACGATTTTTTGGTTAAAAGTTCATGTTTTTAGTCTATTAGTTAAACTTCGCAGTTTTGAGCCTAAGGGCACTTCTCACCTGATCCGCTCCCTATATATCAGGTGAGAAGTGCCCTTAGGCTCAAAACTGCGAAGTTTAACTAATAAACTAAAAACATGAACTTTATAAGCCTGGAAACCTTGAAATTTTTTGGACGCGGTAGCATTTTTGTAATTATGATGGAGAGCTTTATAAATTATGATTTATTGGTTATAAGTTCCTATATTCAGTCTATAAGTTTACTGCGTTGTAAGATTTGATGCAAATCCAAGGGCTGAGATTGCTTCTCACTTCTCATTTTAAGGGGGACTTCTCACCTGATCTTATATAATATATATATATATATATATATATATATATATATATATATATATATATATATATATATATATAGGGGTGAGTTCTAATACAAAGGGGTCTTCCCATGAAAAGTGAGAAGTGATTTAAGCCCTTGATCACTTCAAAATGAATGGAGTGGATCAAAACTCACGGTAAACCAAAATGTGTAATACTTCCTCCGTTCTTTATTAACTGTCTCATATTACTTTTTGGGACGTTTTTAATTATTTGTCTCTCTTTCCCTTTTTGGTAAGTTTTTTCAATCAAAATACCTTTATATCCTCACTTTTATTACCATTACCCCTTTCTCTTTCCTACCTTTTCATTTACCCACAACCCACTACACCTTTTACATTACCCCTATTATTTTCTTCTTAAAACCCGTGCCAAAGCCTAAGAGGACAGATAATAAAGAACGGAGGGAGTACATAATAGTAAAAGTGCATATGCCATATCTAAGAGTGCATAATCACCTCCTAAAAAAATAACACAAACGATTTCTATACTTGTTGTTTTCCACCCGAAAATTGATGCACTTTTGTGTTACTCCAATGCACTTTTTCTCCATACTCATGCACATTTGTCATTTGTACTATTGGCACCGAATTTTCCACTCTAAAATTGATCTGATTCATTCATTTTCTCATTTTAACGGCTAAGATTACTTCTCATTTTTCATATAAGTAGTACTTTGTATTTGAACCTCTCTCTCTCTCTCTATATATATATATATATATATATATAAATATAAAATAGAGATCAAATACAAATCATGCTTAATTTACAAAGTACAAACTTATCTTGGCCATCCGATGAGTTGATCTAAAGGATATAAATGTAAGGTGGCATTTTTGTAATAAAACCTAACTTTTCTACGGTGGAACTCATTGAACGTAAATGTGCAACTGCTATTTTATGACTATATAATATGCAACACTTTGAACCTCAATATGCAATGCAAATAACGTCAAGGTGCATCGTACAAACATTTGCACAATAAGCACAGTTTGTACTTGATCTTTCCCCTATATACATACATACATACATACATACATACATACATACATACATACATACATACATACATACATACATACATACATACATACATACATACATATATATATATATATATATATATATATAGAGAGAGAGAGAGAGAGAGAGAGAGAAGTTCTCGTGTCCAGCAGCCCACGGTCTGAACACCGTCCGAACATCGCCATTTGGGGCACTTCGTGGTGGAATGTTTTGAGAGGGTAGTTTTATAACTATGCACATTGATCCCCGCTGGTTGTGAGAGGATATGGTTTCCTTCGCCTAGATAGCAGTTTTAGGTCTTGTTTATCCGATTAGCCTCCCATGGTCTCGTTCTTCTGATCAGCAGCCTGGGGTCTTGTTTGTCTGATTAGCTGCAGCCCAGGGTCTTGCTCTGGTGGAGAGATCTCTTCTTTAAATGCACCCACAATAGAGCTAAAGGGTAAGCTCTTAGGCCATTGTGTGCAGCTGCAACTGTCGCCATCCGTCAAGGGGATAGCAAAGACCGGTCTTCACTTGTGAGCAGTGCTCGCATGATGTTCTCGAGATAGATGCAGTGAGTAGTCCGCCATGATAAGTAGTCCCTGTTGATTGCTATTATTACCTGTTAGAGAAATGGTAGGTAAAAGAGGTGCTCTCGCTGCTTTAGCTGCAGTGCAAGATACTAAATTTTGGCCTTCAAAGTCAGATGAAGGTCTATCTCATGTAAGGAAGAAGCCTGGAGCTTCTCCGCCTGGTGCTGGGGAAAAGATAGAAGCTTCCCTGCTTTGCGAAGAGCGACTTTCCAAGAAGAGCAAATGTATAAACTTCTCCTTAGGCCGAGTAAGGGGAGATAACCCAACCGGCAGACTCCTCACTTACGCTGTTTGTTTCCTCACACGTATGGCTGGTTGGACGGAGAAGCGCATTTGATGCCCTGCCCTGACCTTCATTTCCTCATAGGTATGGTAGGTCGGAGAAGGGCACTTGCTGCCCTGCCCTGACCTTCGTTTCCTCGTAGGCATGGATGGTCGGAGAAGCGCATTTGCTGCCTTGGATGCGACGAAAGATGCTAAGTCTCGACCTTTGACATCCGATGCAAGTTCATCTAATGTCGTAGAGAAGCACACAACTTCTCCACATGATGTCGGGGAGAAGTGCGCAACTTCCCTGCATAATGTCAGGGAGATGCTTAGAGCTTCAATGTCTAATACCGGGGAGATGCACGCTCCTTCCTTGCTTGATGCTGGGGA